CCCCCCCCGTACAGCCCCCTGTGCTCTCTGCATGGTCCCCCCCGTCCTCCCCCCACTGGTTACAGGCCCTGGGACCCCCCTTCCACCTCACAGTATAGCCCCCCACGCTCTCTGTGCTGCCCCCGGTATAGCACCCCCCTGCTCTGTCCCTGCTGCCCTGTCATAGCCCTGCTGACGGCAGTGCCCCCATGTAACTGCCCCCCTCTCTGCCCCCAGGAGTTCGAGGTTCTGGCCCAGCTGCGTCTCCTGCAGTCCGTGTGCCGCAACTACAGTGTCCAGCCCAGCCCCCCCTTCCAGCGCTGGCTGCAGGCGCCCCCCCCCCCCCGGGAGGCCCGGGGGGGGGGGGGGGGGGGGGGGGCCCCCCGGGGGGGGGGGGGGGGGGGGGAGATAGTGCTTGTAGGAGCTGCGTGAAGTGGGTTGCTGCATGTAGGGGATTGTGTTTGCATGTAGGGTTGTGTAGAGTGTGGTGTGGGGGGTTTTGGGGGAGGCATTGTGTGTGTAGAGGAGTTTGGGGGGAGTTGTGTAAGGAGTGTTGCATGTAGGAGGGGTGTGTGTAGAGGAGTTTGGGGGGGGTTGTGTTGTGTGTGGGTGTGTGTATGGGAGTTTGGGAGGGTTGTGTAGGGAGTGTTGCATGTAGGAGGGGTGTGTGTGTAGAGGAGTTTGGGGGGGTTGTGTGTATTGTGCAATTATAATCCCCCTCTCCCCACAGTCACAGTCTCTCCTGTGAGATCGAACTCCCTGGGGAGGCCCCAACCCCCCAGCGGCCCCTGAAGCCCACCCTGGTCATCACCCACTGCACAGAGTGAGCATGGGGGGGGGGGGAGCAGGGCTGAGTGGTGATTGAGGGAGGGGGGCTCTGGCGCATTGGGGGGCTGGAGGGATGGGGAGGGGGGCTTGCGGGGCGGAGGCTGGTGGGGCTGAAGGTAGCAGCCCCCCCCCTCGCTCCATCTGTTACCTCCCCTGCCTCCCAGGCTGCTGAGCTCCGTGGGGAACCCCCTGGTCTCCTGGGAGGGGCCCCCCGGCTGCAGCCCCGACCTGCTGCCGCCCCCCCGTGGCCCCACACAGCTGCTGTCTCGCCTGGCACAGGTGAGACACCCCCCTTACCGCTTCCTCCCCCTGCCCCCATCCCCCCGCCTGATCTCCCCCCCCCCAAGTCCTGCACCCCCATCCCATCCCTCCCCCACCCCATCCCCCTTTCCCCCTCGGTCCCCTGCCCCTTGTCCCATTCCTTCCCCTCCCTCAATCCCAGCACCTTGCCCCACCCCCAGTCACCCCCTCTGCATCCCCGCAGCACATGAAGTGGCCATCAGCCTCCGCGCTGGACGCAGCTCCTGACGATGTGGCTTCCTTGGCCGGGGGCCTCTCGCCCCCCACCCCCACCGGGGGGGGCTTTCCCCGGGGCCACCGGCGCTCGGCTTCATGCGGCTCGGCCTTCCCTGCCCCTCCCACCCTGGAGCCCGGGGCCCCCCCCTCCGACTGCTGCATCATCCGCGCCCGCATGGCCCTGCACAACGGCAGCCTCTACAAGAGCATCCTGGTGAGCGCCAGGACTCCTGGGTCCCATCTCCAGGGTGGGGACTGGGAGCCAGGACTCCTGGGTTCTATCCCAGCTGGGGGGGGGGGGAAAGGGGGTGAGGGGGGGCTGGGAGTCGGGACACCTGGGTTCTCAAGCCTGCCCTGTCTGTCTTGCTGTGACACTTTCCTTCTGCAGTCTGAGTGTTGTGGGGGGTGGGCCAGGCTATTAGTTTAGCCTGGGAACCCCCCTTTTCCCCAGTGTGACCCCAATCCCACAGCTGCTATGGGGAGGGGGCAGCTGGTCCCCTGACTCACTGTCTCTCCCTGTGGGGAGGGGCTGCCCCACTGTATGTGTGTCTGGTATGAGCGGGCTAGACCTACACGTGTGCGTGCGGCTGTGTGTGTGTGTATTGTTGGGGTGGGGGTGTGATTGGGTGGGTGCTGGGCGTGGGGCTTTCTGGGAGGTCTGTCGGAATTTGCTGCGTTCTCCCAGCTTTGCATGTTGTGTGTGTGGGGTGTGTCTTTGTGGCTGTGTTGTGTTATCTCTGTGGGGTGATCACTTCCCTGTATGTGGTGGTGCTCTCTGGGGCACCTCGCCTGGCTCTGGCGTGCACGGTGGGAGTTGTGTGTTTTGTTGCTGTAGGTGACCAGCCAGGACAAGACCCCGTCTGTCATCGCCAAGGTGCTGGAGAAGCACGGCCAGGAGCGGGGGGCAGCCCCCCAATTCCAGCTGGTCCAGCTGCTGCCTGAGGGGAAAGGTGAGGGGGGCAGGGGGAATTGGTGTCCCTGGGGTAGGGATGGGGGGCCCATTGGGGAGCACCCACAGCGGTGAGGGGTCTCCAAAGGAGTCCCTAGGGAGCTGGGGTCCCATGAGTGGGTGGGGGGACCCTATTCCCTAACCCCCCTCACACCCTCTCTCTCTTCCCCCGCAGAGCTGACCTTCCCGCCTACAGCCAACGTCTTCTACGCCATGAATGGCTCCAGCTTGGACTTTGTGCTGCGCCCCAAGGGCCCCGGGGAGCCTCCTCTGCCCCCCCAGCGCTGCCCCCCGCAGGGCTGAGCTCAGCGCCACCTTCCCCAAAATCAAGGCCACCGGCCGCAAGCTCGCCAGGGCCCTCTTCTGAGGGCGAACCTCAAAACCGCCCTGGGGCTTCCTGGGCCTGGAGGAAAGGCAGTGACCTGCGCCCGGGCTGTGGGGAAGGGAATTGGAGCCACACAGTGCCTAGGGCTGTCTGCTTGGCCTGGGGCTGCCCTCATCTCTCCTGGCATCAGGGTCTGGTCTGCCCCAGCACTGTCCAGGGGGCAGCCTGCCCAGCCAGCGGCCTCAGGGCCATGACCTAAGTGCCTTGAAATGGGTGATGTCCTGACAGCCCCTTCCCCGCCCCCCCAAGGCCAGGACCTACTTCCTGTCCACCCAGGAGCTACAGCTGGGGGTGGGCTGCCCCCATGGGGGGCAGGGCAGTGACCCCCACTCTCCCACAGCATGGTCTCACCCCTGCCAGAAGGACTCTGGGGGAGGCCAGGGGGGGTAACTCCCCGCTAGACATGGGTGGGACGTGGGGTGCTCCCACTGGTGCTGAGATGGCAGCTTCTCAGGGACTTGTCCCACCTGGAGGTGGGGGGGAAGTACTGTGTGATCCAAGCCCTGCAGGGGCAGCTGATCTCCCCCCCCCCCCCCCCGCCAATCACTGTATAGGGGCTTGTGGCCCCAGCCCTCATTGCTGTAACACTAACGCAATAAAGACACTAGTAGCAGCTGGCAGAGAGCTGTGTCGGGGGGGAGCGAGCCGTGCAGGGCACAGCCAGAGAAAGCAGAGGGAGCAAAGCGCATCATGCTCTGCCCTGCCCTGTGAGCAGGCAGCCAGGGGCACAGAGACAAGCCCAGCTGGTGAACAGCAGGGGCCCAGGGCCAGTGAGTGGGTACCAAGGGGAGGGGGGCACAGAGGGCCAGGTGCCATCAGTTTGTGCATCACTTCTTTATTTCAAACAGTGAAAAACTTAAATACAGCCCCCCCCCCCCCCCCCCCCCCC